CCGAGTCAAACAACAAGTCCAAAGGTGTTGCATCACCTCCACTTGGGCCCATTGGCCTTGTACGACCTAGGGTTAGTTTTAGGCTGCCTTGGGACGTCCTCCCACCTCCTAGGCCGTCACCCCTTGCTCCTATATAAGTAGATCCATCTAGTAGCTTTTCCCTTGGGATTTGTTTAGTTAAAAGTTAGCCATTGCAACTTCGTGTACTTCGTTTGTGTCCAACGACCAGACCAAGACCGCTTATGGATCCCCACCTTTATAAATACTTCATACATACATATTCGCTATATTCAGATTGCTTTTATCATATTCTTGCTTGTTCTTCGATTGCTTGCAGGAATAGACCTTCGTGGTCAGGTTGATCGTGCTCCGGCGTGGTCAATAACCTCAGGAGATTGGTTTAGCGATTGCTAAGGCGCAATGTCGTGCACGTTTGTAGTCGGATCGTGAAAGTCGTCTCCACCAAATCTATAGTTATCATCTCATCGAAAGATTGGGACACCTCCGCCTCTATCACATCGTGTCCCTTGTCTCCTGTTACCATCCGCCTAGACGCACAGTTCGGGACCCCCTACCCGAGATCCGCCGGTTTTGACACCGACAAGATGCCTAGTTCATCGAATCAGGAACCAGTTACAATTACTGAACCTGCCATTTCGATGGAACACTTTGAAAGTCCTGTGGACGAGAACAATGAAGTTGCTACTAGGAGTAAGAGACAGAGGATTGCAAAGTCATTTGGTGATGATTTTCTTGTGTATCTCATAGATGACACTCCCAGTTCTATTTCAGAGGCCTATGCATCTGAAGATGCTGACTACTGGAAGGAAGCAGTTCGTATCAAGATGGATTCCATCTTGGCGAATGAAAGTTGGGAGATAACTGATCATCCTTATGGGTGCAAACCTATAGGGTGCAAATGGGTATTCAAGAAGAAGCTTAGGCCTGATGGTACTATTGAAAAGTACAAGGCTCGGCTCGTGGCTAAGGGTTATACCCAAAAGGAAGGTGAAGACTTCTTTGAAACTTACTCACCTGTGGCTCGATTGACCACTATTCGAGTTCTACTTTCACTAGTTGCCTCACATGGTCTTCTCGTTCATCAAATGGATGTTAAGACTGCTTTTCTAAATGGAAAATTGGACGAGGAAATTTATATGAATCAACCAGATGGGTTTGTAATAGATGGTTAGGAAGGAAAAGTGTGCAAGTTGCTGAAGTCTTTTTATGGACTCAAGCAAGCACCCAAACAGTGGCATGAGAAGTTTGAAAGAACCTTAACAGCCGCAGGCTTTGTTGTGAACGAAGCTGACAAATGTGTGTACTATCTCCATGGTGGGGGCGAGGGAGTTATGCTTTGCTTGTATGTTGATGACATACTGATTTTCGGAACGAATCTGGATGTTATTAAGGAAGTCAAGGATTTCCTATCTCACTGTTTTGAGATGAAGGATTTAGGAGTGGCTGATGTCATTCTGAACATCAAGTTGTTGAGAGACGATGATGGTGGGATTACATTGCTTCAATCTCACTATGTGGAAAAGATCTTGAGTCGCTTTGGCTACAGTGACTGCAAGCCCTCTCCAACACCATATGATGCTAGTGTGTTGCTTCGAAAGAATCAAAGAATTGCTAGAGACCAATTGAAATATTCTTAGATTATTGGCTCGCTTATGTACTTAGCCAGTGCTACAAGACCTGACATCTCTTTTGTTGTTAGCAAGCTGAGCCGGTTTGTCTCAAAACCAGAAGATGTGCATTGGAAAGCTCTAGAGAGAGTTTTGCGTTATTTGAAAGGCACTGCGAATTATGGAATTCACTACACTGGGCATCCAAAGGTGCTTGAAGGGTATAGTGACTCAAACTGGATCTCAGATGTTGATGAGATAAAGGCCACGAGCGGATATGTATTCACTCATGGAGGTGGCGCTGTTTCTTGGAAGTCTTGCAAGCAGACCATCTTAACGAGGTCAACAATGGAAGCAGAACTCACAGCACTAGATACAACTACGGTCGAAGCAGATTGGCTTCGCCGGCTCTTGAATGACTTGCTGGTTGTTGAGAAACCTGTACCGGGTATCCTTATGAACTATGACAATCAAACTATGATCACGAAAGTGAGCAGCTCAAAGGATAACATGAAGTCATCGAGACACGTTCAGAGAAGGTTAAAATCTGTCAGAAAAATGAAAAACTCCGGAGTTATTGCATTGGATTATATCCAAACATCTAAAAATCTGGCAGATCCTTTTACTAAGGGTCTATCACGTAATGTGATAGATAATGCATCGAGGGAGATGGGTATGAGACCCACGATATGAGTTGTTCACAGTAGTAACCTATTCTTTGTGATCGGAGATCCCGTGAATTAGATGTGGAAGACAAGCTGTTGGTCAACTGGGAGGAGAGTACCCTTACTGTTAAAAAAACCACTCCATGAAGATGCAATACTCTCCTAATCTGCATGGCAGGTTGATGTATATCTTAATGTGTTCTAAGTGGCTCATTGAAGCAGAGATGTTGTCCTGTAGAACATCTTTTGAAGAACGCACCTATATGAGTCTGATTGTTAAATATCGCAATCTATGAGAGTAGGGTTCTCTCTAGTAAACTCATGAAAGGTCTCGAAGTATGACGCATAAGCTCCGCCCGCGGGGAAGACCCACGACAGCCATGTATCGGTCAAGGCTTTGTGTCAAGCTAGATTCGCAGAAAACTTGCAGTTCAAGGCCCAGTCCACTATTCAAGTTGCTTACTAGTGGAAGTTCAACTTAACAGTCTCCACTGCAGTACCGGTCTATAAAATAGTGTTTTGGAACCAAAGACAAATTTTGTGTGCCTCTGGGATCTGGTGGGGGATTGCTGGAATTTTGTCTATTTTGGGCCAGCCCAATAGCAGTTTCAGAAATTCCTAATAAATCCTAGAGGCCCACGCAGCCCATTCGTGCAAGGCAAGAGGTGGAACTAAAGTTTAGTCCCACATTGCTAGTTTAGAGGGAGTTAGACCTCTTTATAAGGGAGGCTCTTTCTCCACATGTATGAGCATAAAAACAAGAGGGGCATCCACGCACGCTCCTCCTCCGTCGCCTGCCTCGCCATGACGCGACGCGACGTGACGCGCCGCGCCGCGGGTTGCGGGAATGAGCCGAGCCGATGTCTAAATTTTTGCCACGCACGACGGGTATACGAACGGTTACACGGGAGCTGAAATGTTTTGCTGTAGTGGAGACTGGATACGAACGGCGCACCTCTTCGCGTGCTGCCTGTTCGCTTCATCTTCCTCCGTTGCTTCACCTTCCGTTGCAGCCTGTTCGCGTCCTTCTCCTGTGCCTATATAAGAGAGGTCGCTCCTCTCCAGAGAGACACACCTGAAGATCCTCTTCCTCTCGCCACAGAGTTCCTGAGCACCGTGCTGCTGCTACAATCTTTCCCATCCCGGCTTGCGGCGTGCACCACAGGTCAGGACAGTAGGCCTCCGAAACCGCACCTCTTTGAGTCCTGTATGGGAGAAGGGTGATAAGGTTTTTGGGGAGCGTTCTGCGCGACTACTGATTGAATCCTTCGTCAAGGACGCCCCGGACTCCGACGACTACTTCCCCGACGACGACTTCTTCCCCGACGTTGACAACCTCCTCGACGACATGGCTGGCGAGGACACCGACCCCAAGTCCAGTGCTACTGTTGCTGCTGTCCCGTATGTGTTCTTCTTTCTATTGGATGTCCTGCCACAGTTTCTCGTACTAGTACTTGCCCTATATATGCTAGGTTCTACTTTCAATATGCAACTAGCTCTACTGTCTGCTATAGATATGCTAGGCTACGATTCATATATGCAGAAACTATTTACCTTCTCTCTGTCAGATCGCATGACTTGTTTTATCTCTACTATATTAGACATGCTTTACCTAGTATTTCTGTTAATAAAATCATTTGGTAAATTGCACATATTTCCAACAAATATCACAAGCTATGAAATAGAAATCATCGAACACTGTTGCCGCCGCTCCCGCCGAATGTCCTTCATTCTTCATTGTGTCAATCACCTTCATATTGTCAGAGTTAACGACAAGACGATTGCATCCCGCCTTTTGTGCAAGGGATAGGCTGAATCTTGGAGCCAAAGCTTATGTTATTAAAATATCAGCACACCAATCAATCCTTCAATTTCCACCAACAATGAATCTTTCTTTATCATCTCTGAGAATAGCCCTAACTGTGCCCGTAAGCAAATCATGATTGAAAGAGGCATCTACATTCAGCTTAACAAAACTCATAGGAGTTCTACTCCATCCACGTGTTTTACTAGTAGCCTTAGCGGAATATGCATTAACATAATTTGTTGTTATAGCTCGGGCTCCCATAGAAGTTTGGTGTGCATCTTGAAACTTTCCTTCATGAATCAGTTTACGCCTGTCCTACCATAAACACGAAGCTATAATAGCGATCAATTCACATGCATTTTGATAACCCACTATCGCTAAATCTTGATCTGGCATAAGAAATAAGAATTCCAATACCGCCTCCTCGCATGATCAACAGCACGTGATGTCGGTCCTTACATAACTTGTATTTTGAGCTACACGCAAAAATATATTTTGAGCTTTGTGATCTTTATGACCATGAAAAAATTCCGCAGCCCAAGACACCCTAGAATTGTGTAGAAAAGAAAACTTCTAGAGACGAAAGAAAGTCACACCCAAGACACGACCGGAACTCGTTCACCGGTGCGGTGTTGCCACGAGCACCGTGGATAGAAAAGCACAATAGAAAGAGTCGACCGCGGATATGCTTGGCTTTGGTTTGAAGCAAACCGGCCGGCCACCAACCAACCAACGCCCCCGAATCTATCCATCATATCAGACCTTCCGCCGCCGGTGAGCTACCCGCAGCGCCGGACGGGCCGGCCCACTTGTTCTGGTTCTCTCCCTCCTCCGCTCCTCCGCCGCGAGCTCCCGGAGGAGACCCAACGGAGAGGGGAAGGAAGAAGCAAAGCCTCGGACATGGCACGTGTCCTCCCTCTGGACATCGAGCCCGGGGAGGCGCCCAGGTAGCAGCGCCTCGTCCTCCCGAGCCACCGCATGCAGTTTCTGTTTCTTTTACAGTATTAGTATTACTTTTCCTGCTCGGATTTCGCCATGTTTGTTGTTTTTATCTGTGGAGCGGAGCTATTTTTGGAAATTCGGTGCTCGGCGATGTATGCCAATCGTCGAGGCGAAAACCTAGCCCTCGAGGCCGCCACAATAAAGCCGCCGCTCCTCTCCTCGCCGGTGGCGCCGGGGCCTCTAGGCCGTCCCCCCTTCCGCCCCCGCGGATCCCTTGTCCCCGACCTCATCGCCGTGCTCGTCCTGGACGGCGACGCCGGCTAGATGGCCAGCCTGGTTAATGTTATCCTTTTCCTCTTCGTTCTCGCTTGTCTAAAGTTTCAGTAAATCACGGTCTCCTTCAAAATTGCTTGTTTGTATATCTCATGGACAGACATTCTAGTATTGCAAGTATGCAATTTTAGCAAACGTATATCTATCTGCACTTTTTAGTTTGATGTGTGGGGTGAGGTTGGGAGGGATTTGGGATGGATGTTGATCCAAGGGTTTCGAAAGGTGGCTGAGATTTAAGAATCATTATTATTGAGGCAACTTATGAGTCTCAGATTATCTAATTTTATTTTCCTTTCGACTGTTGCTTCCCTGTGGCCAAATATCATATCATGGTTTCAAAGGTATAACAAGAGCCTAGGATTCATTTTGGAGCACATATCTCCAATCCTAATTTCACTAGGATAACATGTGTCGCATTACTCAACGTTTTTCTGTGATAATAGTTTAATGCTGTATCCAATTTGGGAATCTTACTTGCACTAGCATGTTACATCCATCCATGCTGCTTTTAACTATCATGACTCACACTGCACCATGCTAACCAAACCAGTGCATTTTGAGTTCAGTAATATGTGGGTGAATAAGCTGTAACCCCGATTGTTGGTTTAAGGAAATAACAGGGAGTTGGGCCTGTGCGACTCTAATTTAGATAAGGATCTGTCACATGTCAACCTTAACCTTACATCTATGACACGAATTAATAACATCTCTACATTCGTGGGCAGCATCAGTACGTTTATTTGATAATATTTCCTGGCTTGTAAACAGAGCTGGTGAGACGGTTGCTAGCACGCCAAGCTCTTCAGCTGTGGTGTCATGCAATAGAATTGAGCATTCTGAGCAAAACATAAAGGACGACGAATACGCGATGCTGATGACGCCAGCTCAACATGCAACGGCTGACAACAACACAGAAATTTTACCTCAGCAACCCAAGTCAAGTCACTTCAGTTGGTGGATGACAGCTCTGCTTGTCTGCTTCCTTCTTACAATGGCAACTTATATCTTTGTGAAATTTGGAGCCCCCTTTGCCTTTGAGAAGGTGGGTGCAAAATAAAATCTCTTCCTTACAGGGTAATTTTAGGCAGCCCACTGGAATGTCAGTAGACTTCCATTCTTCTGGTTACCTTTCACTGAATTTCACAAAATGCATTTCAGAACCAACTGATGTTGGCTTGTTGGTTGACTCTTCGGTAGTTGGCCATTTTGGGCTGTGATCTTTTGCTTGGTCTGTATTGGTCCATAGGTTTTTTTAATATAATAATCAGGAACTTTGAGGTGGCATGCATCTATAAAATTCCATGGGACAATCATAATGCTTGAAGTCGTTATCACACTGCTCATTTTTTTTGTTTGGTTGTCCTTCAATATACTTGAACTAGCACCAGTGAGGCATTCAACTTAATACTTTTGGTTTTTGTCGAACATGTCTGTTATATGTTTCCTTTTGTCACATCTGCTTAGGTCTCAAGCATATGTTCAGTGTTCAGCTTGTAATTGTTAGGAATTACTGTTACGCCATTGACATGAATATTCTGGTTGGTTCATATAATTAGAATGCTATTTGTTTAGTGAATGCATATGTGGCATACTGAACTTTGAGAGAAATTTTAGTTGTATATATGTAAATACCAATTGTGTCATGTTTTTGAGCAATGTTGTGCATGTGTTCTCTTTGATCTTATTCTCTCTCTTTTTTATGAAGAAGATTTTGAGTTGGGTTGTTGAAACAGAACGTCTACGCTAATATGTATGTATGTATTTTCTTGTGTTTGTTACTTGCAGGTTCTTTTTCCAATCATGAAATGGGAAGCAACTGCCTTTGGTCGTCCAGTATTGGCTCTTGTCCTCGTCGCATCTTTGGCTCTCTTCCCACTCATTTTAGTCCCCTCTGGACCTTCTATGTGGTTAGCAGGGATGATCTTCGGTTATGGCTGGGGTTTCGTGATTATTATTGTTGGGACTACTCTTGGCATGGTTGGAGCATATTGGATCGGCTCATTGTTCCGCGAGCGACTACATGTAAGATTTTTCAGACTTGCATCTTTTCTCTACCTGAGGAGCTGTGTCTTAATATCTTCTTCTCTGTTTTCTATTCCTTTTTTTCAATGCAGGCATGGTTAAAGAGATGGCCTCAGCAGATAGCTCTGATAAAGCTTGCTGGCGAAGGGAGTTGGTTCCACCAGTTTCGAGTGGTTGCGCTATTCAGAGTCTCACCGTTTCCATACTCGATTTTTAACTATGCCGTGGCCGTGACAGAAATCAAGTTCAGCCCTTATGTATGTGGTTCAGTTGCCGGAATGACGCCTGAGGCATTCATCTATATCTATAGGTATATACGGGATATCCGCATTACAGATTATGGATTTACTAAATTCCGCTGCATCATTTTGTCATGACTATTGAGGCCATGCATCTAGGTTTATTGTGCATCTGTCATCTGATTAATGCCCTTATATAACAAAATAGTACATGGATTGCCGATCGTTAACCAATTCTTTTCCAGTAGAGCGTGCAGTATTTGGTAGACAAGCGTCATATAATCTATACATTTCTGCTCTTGATAAGCAGGAGTTTTCTTGCTGCTGATTTAAGCTAGACTGTAGTAACCCAAACAGAGACATCTCTCAAAGTAGTGATGACTTACTGATCTTGCTTAATGCCTATGCAGCGGGCGGTTGATACGTACGTTGGCCGATGTGAAGTATGGCAAGCATAAGTTGACTACAGTGGAGATAATCTACAGCGTAATCTCGTTCGTCGCTGCCGCTGCCCTCACGGTCGCCTTCACAGTTTACGCCAAGAAGTCGCTAAACAACATAAAGAGCCCAGATGATATCTCAGAGGACCACCAACCTGCTGCTGGCTCTGCTGGGGTGACTGCACTAAAAAATGGCCATCAGGACGTGCATATCCTGTAGCTTTACATGTCGTATGATGTCTGTATTCATTCAATTCACCAAAGAAAAATAGGTAGCTAGGCTCTGACAGCAGGTGGATGCACCTGTCTAACTAGATAAATATATGTATGGTTTTACTACTCCCTCTGTTCACTTTTACAAGGCATTGTAGACGTGTAAAACAACTCAATTTCAGTTGTCTGAAATGACTTATAAAAGTGAACGGAGGATTTGCAACTCAATTTCAGTTGTCTGAAATGACTTATAGAAGTGAACGGAGGGAGTACTTGATTAGTTTCATGTGGTTAATCACCCAACATGTATTTTGGCCTTGTTGGCGACTGGAAATTTGGCCTTCTCTTGAGGTGCATGTATTTTTGTATATTTAGTTGTTCCGTATGGCAGTGCGTCAGAGTTTGCCTTGGCACACTGTTTCAGATGTGCATAGTGCGTGTCTAAGCTTTGTGCGCTCTGCGGGATTCCATGATTCAATCCTCGTTAAGAAACACCTTCTGATTATTATTTTCAAAAAGGAGATGAAACCCTGGCCTTTGATGCATACAATTATTTTTATCAATTATGTACTTATTAAATATACTCCTATAAACAAATGCAAGATGTTTTACGGCACTGAAATAAATATCTATGATTAAGTTGACTTATTTCGCAACAACGCCTCTAAAACGAGTAAGCACCCTCACGCCTTCGTTGCCACGTCCAAACAAAGACGATCACGACAAGAATTTTCATTTTGGTTACCGAGACCAAGTACTGAAGGCCAACAATATCAGCAAGAAGACGATGCCTTCCAAGGCAATGATTTTCATCTCAGTTGCTAAGACCAACCATCGAAGGCTACCACATCAATAAGGAGACAACACATTTAACAAAGGTAACGATGAAACCAACTACAAAGTTAAAGGCGCAAGTTCGCCAACATATCAGCAAGGAGATAATGTCTTCCAAGATAAGGATTTTCATCTTGGTTGTCAAGACCAACCATCGAAGACTACCACATCAATAAGGAGAAACACGTTCAACAAGGTAACGACGAGACCAACTACCGAAGGCAAGCATTAGCAAGAATACAACTGCTACCTCTTGAGTTTGCGTTGGTTTTTTCCTTCAAGGAAAGGGTGATGCAGCAAAGTAGCGCAAGTATTTTTCTCAGTTTGAGAAGCAAGGTATCAATCCAGTAGGAGACAATGCACAAGTCACCGAATACCTGCGCAAACAATCAACAACTTACACCCAACGCGATAAAGGGGTTGTCAATCCCTTCACGGTTACTTGCAAAAGTGAGATCGGATAGAGATAGATAAACGGTAAAATAAATATTTTTTTGTATTTTTGGTTTATAGATTGGAAAGTAAAGATTGCAAAATAAGGAACGGGGACAGAAATTGGCAAGTTGATGGAAAACTAATATGATGTATAATAGACCCGGGGGCCATAGGTTTCACTAGTGGCTTCTCTCAAGATAGCAAATATTATGGTGGGTGAACAAATTACTGCCGAGCAATTGATAGAAAAGCGCAAAGTTATGATGATATCTAAGGCAATGATCATGAATAAAGGCATCACGTCCGTGTCAAGTAGACCGAAACGATTTTGCATCTACTACTATTCCACACATCGACCGACTCATGCATGCATCTAGAGTATTAAGTTCATAAAGAACGGAGTAATACATTAAGTAAGATGACATGATGTAGAGGAATTAACTCAAGCAATATGATGAAAACCCCATCTTTTTATCCTCGATGGCAACAATACAATACGTGCCTTGCTGCCCCTACTGTCACTGCGAAAGGACACCGCAAGATTGAACCCAAAGCTAGACACTTCTCCCATTGCAAGTAAGATCAATCTAGTAGGCCAAACTAAATCGATAATTCGAAAAGACTTGCAAAGATATCAAATCATGCATATAAGAATCCAGAGAAGAACTAAATAATATTCATAGATAATCTGATCAAAATCCATAATTTATCGGATCTCGGCAAACACACCGTAAAAGAATATTACATTGAATATCTCCAAGAACATCGAGGAGAACGTGGTATTGAGAATCAAAGAGAGAGAAGAAGCCATCTAGCTACTAGCTATGGATCCCTGGGTCAGTGGTAAACTACTCACGCTTCATCGGAGAGGTAATGGTGTTGATTAGAAGCCCTCCGTGATCAAATCCCCCTCCGGCAGAATGCCGGAAAAGCCCCCTAGATGGGATCTCATGGGTACAGAAGGTTGCGGCGATGGAAAAGTGGTTTCGTGGCTCCCCTGGATGTTTTCAGGGTATAAGAGTATATATGGGCGAAGGAGCTAGGTCAGGAGATCCACGAGGGACCCGCGAGGTAGGGGGGCGCGCCCTCCTTCCTCATACCTCCTCGTTGCGTTTCCAACTTCATCTCCAAGTCTTCTGGTTTCCATCTAGTCCAAGAAAGATCATCGCGAAAGTTTCATTCCGTTTGGACTCCATTTGGTATTCCTTTTCTTCGAAACTCTAAAATAGGAAAAAAATAGAAACTGGCACTGGGCCCTCGGTTAATAGGTTAGTCCCAAAAATAACATAAAATAGCATATAAATGCCTATTAAACATCGAAAATAGATAATATAATAGAATGGAACAATAAAAAATTATAGATAAGTTGGAGACGTATCAACAACTCTTTCAACAAGGTATCAACGCAAGTTTGTCGCTGTTGAGACCAACCAATCAAGGTGACAAAACAAGTTTTCACTCTGGACATGAATCATTGATCCAATCACCATCTTGAAGACAAATCTTTCGGTATCTCCCCAACATGGTACTCCATGCGAAACTAAAATGACACTAGCGGACGGATGGGGCATCTTCCCACCATAGACCACTGCCCTAGCTGTCAAGGGGTCATCCATGGCATGACGCTGGCATGGAAGTAGCCACTCCACCCTCGAGTGAACCAGACTGCAACATTCATCATGACCCAGGGCCACTGCGGCAACATCATACGTGTCAGCTGCCACCATTCTGCCCAGGGCCGTCGCCCTGACGTTGTCAGCACGAAGCCCACCCACAATGTAGCGGTGAGTCAAATGCAACTGACCACATGAGAATCACGGCGTCGCTTCGTACGGGCTTGCTGAGGGAGTCCTGGATTAGGGGGTCCTCAGACAGCCGGACTATATACTTTGGCCGGACTGTTGGACTATGAAGATACAAGACTGAAGACTTCATCCCGTGTCCGGATGGGACTCTCCTTGGCGTGTAAGGCAAGCTTGGTAATTCGGATATGTAGGTCTCCTTCTTTGTAACCGACTCTATGTAACCCTAGCCCCCTCCGTATCTATATAAACCGAAGGGTTTAGTCCGTAGGACAACAACAATCACAATCATAGGCTAGCTTCTAGGGTTTAGCCTCTACGATCTCGTGGTAAATCAACTCTTGTAATACTCATATCATCAAGATCAATCAAGCAGGAAGTAGAGTATTACCTCCATCGAGAGGGCCCGAACCTGGGTAAACATCGTGTCCCCCGCCTCCTGTTACCAATAGCCTTAGACGCACAGTTTGGGACCCCCTACCCGAGATCTGCCGGTTTTGACACCGACATTGGTGCTTTCATTGAGAGTTCCACTGTGTCGTCACGGTAAGGTTTGATGGCTCGCCTCGTTGTCAAGGACAATATCACCTCTGGGGGAGCCCTGGCCCTAGGCCAAACTCTCCGACTAGGCGGCTTCGTCATGACCGCCCGATCGGCCGTCGCGCCGACGATGACTTCTCAGGTCATCAAAAATAGCCTCCACGTCAACTCGTAACTTGTCGAACAGATGGATCCGAGCTCTCTTCCCTGAATGAGCTCTTGGATCGCATCACCGCTCTGGGTGTCGCTATGGACTATGATCGGATTGGGCTTAAACCCGACCAAGGGAAGATTAACTCTCCGCCGGCCACCCATCAGATAGCGGTAGTGGAAGAGCAACGCATTGATTCTCCCTCTATTTTGAGGACAAAATATGTCCGGATTCCCGAGCTCTCCGAGCCGGATACTCGTCTATGGGAGGACATGTCCCAGGCTCCGAACTTAGAATCGGACAGCGGGCCAGGAAAATTGGGCAACATCCCGGAGCCCGAGCTGCCAAGCTCGGAAGCTTCTCTGCCCCTAGGTCTTAGCCGGGTCAGGGTTTGGACTTAAATCTACCCACCCACCCAGATACAAGCAATCTTTCCCACATCAGACAAGAGCCCCAAGAAACAGTACATCACTTCTAGGCCAGATTCCTCCTTGTAATGAACAAGGTTAAGGACTGTCGCGAGGAAGACGCAATCTCATTCTTTTGCAAAAGTTGCACAGACAAGGGAATCCTCAAAGCCATAAGTCGCCGTGACATAGTAAACTTTGCTGACTTGGCGGCCATAGTACATAAGTACTGTGTGATGGAAAGCGCCTGGAAAACTCAAAAAAAATTCTGGGATCCTCTGGCTCTCACTAAACCCTTCATCCAAACTAAAAGGGTAAACTCTCGCAAGTCACCCGATTCAATTACCAAGAAACCAAGGCCCGTTGCAGGGCATGGAACCGTATTGGAGGAATGGCTCAATGGGCCATGCAAAATTCATAGCACACCGGATACCATACCAACACACAGCCTTAGAGCATGTTGGATACTCCGGCAGGTAGCCAAGAGCGGCGATGATCTCCTCATCAACCATACCACAGAGCAACATCCCGCCGAAATAAACAATACGGTACTGACAGTCTTTGAGACTTTCGCCTCAAATAATAGGCGCAAGCGAGCACTCCGCAGCCTCGCCGAAGTCTGCCACGTTGCAGCAATAAATCCATGGAACGACAAGGCTATAACTTTCAATGCCAGTGAGGAACCTCAATTCTGAACAGTTCGGGCACCAGTCGCTTTGGTCCTTAGTCCGATCATGGACGGCTTCCGGCTTACTAAAGTGCTCATGGACGGCGGCAGCGGATTAAACCTCATCTACGAGGAGACCCTCAACAAGATGGAAATAGAAAAGAGTCGCAT